TCGATTGCTCGGTAACCGTGGAGCAAATTACATTGAAATTTTCAGCATTTGTAGCTCTTATTAAGCTTTGAATGGCCTGTAATTTACAATATTCACAGATTTATAATTTTTCAGCAAATTGAGTTTGAAGTTTTTGACAAAATTTAGACTAAAAGTCAACTTTGAGAGTCAATTGCTCAAAAACTATTTGAGCTATCAATCTCAATTTTGCACATATTTATAGAGAATTTCCAATTTATTTCAATTTGCTCGAAATATGAGCAATTTAAGCAGAATTCCATTTAAATTATGAGAAATGGTAAAGAAATTATGCGAAATTAAATTATATTGTAATTATATTAGAATTATGTGAAATTTGAATTGAAATTATGCGAGAATATAGTTCTTTCTTTTGAAATTTTCACTTATAGCATGGAATTCCATTTAATTTCAATAAAATTTCTGACAAATGACGACAAATTTCAAAAATGTTAAATTTTAGCAAAATTACATAGAAATTATGCGGAATTCCCAAAAATTTACTCGGAATTTCATTGAAATTACATAGAATTTCAAATAGGTATGTTAAATTGCATTAAAATTATGCGGAATTCAAGTGAAATTAGTAATTTTAGTAAATTTCAAAGAAAAAAATAATTAATTTTAGAAAAATTCAATGGAATTCTATAGGAATTTTGCACAATTTCTCGGAATTGACGTGCTTATCATATGGCGGTAGCACATATCCATTTACATTGAAATGAATTCAAAGTTCACGTCGAAGTACACTAAATTTAGGCGAGCTGCTTGCTGAGGGCAAGCAGAAATTTGTGAAATGTCAAATTTTCATAGATTATCATCCCTCATGATTCTCATAGACAAATAATAAACCAAGGTAAGGGCGGCTTCTCATGAGCGTAATTTGACATTTATAGCGTGACAGCGTACCTGAATGCAGAATTCTGATTGGCTAAAATTCCGCCATATTGGATACGATGACACTTTAGAGGATTTCAAGCGTTTGACCGGTTGGTTACACTTGACAGATAAACAATGAAGTAAACGTCATTTGTTGACCAATTAATCTTGAATGACGTAAAATGAGTTGCTCATCTGTCAAAGTTATCGAATGGTAAATCGCTTGAAAACCCCATTTCTATAAATATGCAAAAATTTAAAGAAATTATGCGAAACTTTAGTAAAATTAAATGAAATTCTGTAAAAAAACATGTATAAAAAATTCCATAGAAACTATGCAAAAGTCTAAAGAATTTCTGCCGAATTCTATATAAAATATGCAATATTCTATATAAAACTATGCAAACTTCTACTGAAATTATGCAAAATTAGGTACGTGGAAATTATGCAGAATTTCATAAAAATTGTGTACAATTCAATAAAATTCCAGTAAAATTTAATAAAATCCCAGAGATACGACGTAGAACTGCAAATAAAAATATGTGGAATTTCTGTGGGATTCCGGTAAGTTCCAAGTAATTTCTCCGAAATTTTAAATTATTCTCGTGAAATTCCATAAAAAAATATATTATTTAAAATTCCTGTGAATTTCCCAGAAATTTCTGTGAAATTTCTTGCAATTACAGAAAATTTCCTTGAAATTACATGAATTTTTAGTAGAATTCCGGAGAATTTTTATGAAATTACGACGAATTCTGGTGAATAATTTTTTTTTTCCAATTTACTAAGAAAAAGAGTTTTTTCAGTATATTTCAGAGACTTGACACCGTCGTTACGGTTGCGCTGAATTTTACCTTATACTTCAAAATTCAGGCAAATTTTTATTAATCCAATAATAATTATTATTGAAATTTGAAATATGTAACTAATAAGTAATAAGCTACGACTTGTTCAAATATCAAAAATCTTATTTGGGATTTCAGTGGAATTACGTGGAATTCCGATGAAATTTCATTAATTTTCCAGGAATTCTAGAAAATTCCTGTAAAAATTATATGAAATTTTAAATAATTCTTGTGAAATTATTTGGAAGTTCATTGAAATTCCGGTAAAATTATGTGTAATTTCGAAAAAATTCCAATCAAATTTCATCTATTTTCCGGAAATTCCACGTAATTCTCTCGGAATTCCAAGTTATTCTCGTAAAATTCCAAAAAATTCCCGTAAAAATTACAATAAATTTTCATGTAACTTTAAAAAAAAATTGTGAAATTGGAATTACGTGGGATTTCGGTAAAATTATGTGATACTGCGAAAGAATTATGACGACATTTTCCGAGTCTTCGACTCCATGCCCCCGGAATTTTAAGTTATTCTCGTGAAATTCCCATGAAATTCCAAAATATTTACGTAAAATAACGTAGAATTTTCGCTAAATTTCAAAAAAATTCCAAAAAAAAAAAAAATTCCTTAAAGTTACTTGTAAGTTCAGTGGAATTTTGAAAAATTTCTATGGTATCACTTGAAATTCTCGTAAAATTCAGAGAAAAAATAGCAAAAATTTTCGTAGATTACATAAAATTCTTATGAAATTACTTGAATTTTTTATTGAATTCTCAAGAATTCTCGTGAAATTACATGGAATTCCCATTAAATAACTTAAAATTTAAGTGAAATTCTTGTGAAATTCCGAAAAGTTCTTGTGAAATTACTTAATTCTTTAGCAATATTCCTGTAGAGTAAATCGGAATTTTAGTGGAATTTAAAAAAAAAAAAAAAACCAGAAAATTTCTTTAAAGTTACTTGGAATTCCCGTGGAATTGAAAAAAAAACCCTTCCTGCGGAATAACTAGAAATTCCATAAAATTTCCATGAATAATGGAAATTGAAATTTCATTGAAATTCCGAAAAAATCCTGAAAAATTACTCGAAATTCCAAAAAATTCTTCTGAAACTTCTCAGGCAATGTTACTGAAATAAAATTACTTGAACTTCTCCTGAAATTATATGGAATTCCTGCAAATTTTGAATAAATTCCTGCGAAATATTTAGATCAAAATTCCAAAAAATTCACAATAAACTACTTAAAAAATCGTATAAATATTTATGAAATTCCAAAAAAAAATCGTGGATTTTTTTTTTTTAAATTTCAGTAAAATTCCAAGGAATTTTTATATAATAACTCAGAATTTCAGTGGGATTCCAAAAAAATTTACCTGAAATGACTCGAAATATTCATAAACTATCAAAAAGTAATTTGTGAAATTACATGGAATTCAAAAAAATTCCTTTGAAAATACAGAAATTTCTTTGAAACTAATTGAATTTTTAGTGGAATTCCGAACAATTTTTAGGGAATTCGGGTGTGTAATATATGAACATTCTATGAACATTCTTGGAATATTCTATAATAATAATTTTAGTGGAATTCTGAAAAATTCTTGCAAAATTTCACGAAGTTCTGATGAAATATCAAGAAATTCCTATGAACATTCCTGAAACATTCTACGAACATTCCCGGAACATTCTATAAACATTTCCCGAATATTCTTCAAAAATTTTCCAAAAAAAGAAAAACATGCTGAAACATTCTATAAACATTCTTGAAATATTTTATGAACATTTCTAAAATATGTATACATTGCAAATTTTTCAACAAAAAAAACATGTTGAAATATTTCTGGAACATTTTAAAAACATTTCTAAAATAGAAGAATTATTTAAAAAATATATTGAAATATTTTCGTCTTGAAGGGACATTCTATGAAGATTCCATAAACATTCCTAGAAGTACCCCCTTTGAATTTCAAAATATTCTAACCTCAATTGATGAGTAACCGTTGAGCAAACTGCATTGAAATTTTCAGCATTTGTAGCTCTTATTAGGCTCTAATCTAAATGGCCTGTAACTTACAATATTCCCAGATATATAGCTTTTGAGCAAATTCAGTTTAAAGTTTTTGACAAAATTTGGACTAAAAGTCAACTTTGAGGCTCAATTGCTCGAAAACTGTTTGAGCTATCAAACTCAATTTTGCAAAGATTTATAGAGAATTTAATGCTCTTTCTGGTGATATATAATTAATTTCAATTTGCTCGGAAAATAACGAAGATATAGGGAATTATTGCTCATGACCATGTCAAAATTTTTGAACCAAAAATAAGATTTTTCTTTTCAATTTTGTTTTTGCTTGAAATGGCCATTTAGAATTGATATCAGGGTTGTTTTCCATTATTTTTGACTCGCTCTATCGATCAGTGAAGTCAAAATTGAACGAAACTGAAGAATGAAAAAATCGAGTTTTTCTTAAGGGCACCCCTTTGAATTCTGATATCAAAATATTCAAACCGCGATTGCTCGGTAACCATTGAGCAAATTGCATTGAAATTTTCAGCATTTGTACCTCCTATTAAGCTCTAAATGGCATGTGTTTTATAATATTCCCAGATTTATAGTTTTTGAGCCAATTGAGTTTGAAATTTTTGACAAAATTTGGACTGAAAGTCAATTTTGAGGCTTAAATGCTTAAAAACTAAAGTCTGTTTTTTTTTTTTTAAAGATAAAAGTTAAAATGACATTATGTTGGCAATACAATGTAAAATTGTCAATGCTTTCAAATTTTCTATGTAGAAAAGGCTTGTGTTGCCAACATAGTTACTAAATTAATTTTTGACTTGGTTTGAAAGACGCGTCACGTTTTGGAAAATTTCGTTACACGATAGAAAGAAAGATATAACGTAGACTCGTAGAGAGACGAGAGAAAAACAGCTAATGATAATGACAGTCGAAGAACTATTGACACAAACCAAGGATTATAAGCAAGAAGGATTGCCTATTATTGTCAAGCGCCGATACCCTTGTGACGTCACTACAGATGCGTGACTTTTTTTGTGCGGTTTTTTTCATCTTTACCCCGGCTCAGACGTTGTCTTAAAGTTGTATGAGGGGGATAGTTTTTGAGAAGTTTCACAGAAGATTGGTGGCCGCCTGTGTGTTTTGAGTACACCGCACATATGGTAGCGGCGGCCCTGGACAGTTAATATAGTAAGTTTATTAGAACATGAATAAACTGGGCCAACAAAAAAAAAATCTGGAAAAATTCTTACTCGTGTTTTCCTTGTTCTTCCAAAGCGTCGTTTTGCAACTTGCCCACTCTCTTGTACAAATCGGACAGTTTTGATCGGGAAAATACCAAAAAGTCGGAAATTTTCATTTCTTCCGGCTTGTACTGCTCGAAACCGTAAATCTGATCCAGGTTTAGGATCACCGTGCATCGAACGTTGTTTAGGTTTTTTTGTTTATCCCTCTAAAAAACTATTACTTGTAAGAAGAGGAGATTGTACAAATTTCAAAAAGAATTCAATTTCACCACCTAGTTGTTTACGTCTAGAGCGCGTTTATTCCGTGAATTTAATTTTTGAAATTCTCACCCTAAAAGATTCCAACTGTTCCTGAGCATCGTCGTAAGCCTTGTGCAGCATCCCCAATTTTCTCGTGTTCACTTCGATTTCCTTTTTGGTGAATTCCAGTAATCGTACTTCTTCGCGATCGGCCTGTTCGATTTCGTGCCGTTTCGACCGCATCGACGTTACCAAATTGAATATGGTCGGGTCGCAACCTTTCGGACAAACGTTCAAGTCTTGCTTGATGAAGCCGAAATCTCTCGAATCGATGCTGCCTTCGTCGTCGTCGTAATCGTCGTCTTCCGAACTCGACGATTCTGACGATGAAGTCTCATCTTTGAAAAGAAAATTAATTATTAGTAATACGTAATGCTACAAAACAATCGTAAGAAAATTAATTAATGCTACAAAAATTTCGTAATTTCACATTTTTTTTTTCTTTCTAAAACACATTTTTGTCAGTTATAACTCGAAAAACAGCAAACATTTGGAATTTGTCTAAGGCAAAATAAAATACTCTTTCTTAAAATTCAAGAGATTTCACTGAATTCAAATTTTTGGAGCTTTTTAAATCAACGTTCAACTATTCCCGGCTCTTGATTGGATTAATTTAGATTGTTTCCATTAATTGAATTATTTTGAAAAATAAAATTAGCCCAATCAAGAACAGAGAATTCTAAATCTCTTTTAAAAAACTCAATAAGAACACCGGTGTGAAATTGGCCTCCCAAGATAGCCTCCAAAACTTCCGGAAAGTGCCGAACGGCCAGTGGCGTCGGATATATAAGAAAATATCATAACCTAAAATCTGTTCGTACTTACCATGTAGGTACTTACAGATTCATATTTTCAGGACAACGATTTGCTATTTTTTCATCCTAACACCAGATCCCGATAGATAAACCGTCAGAAGGTGTCAAAATATGGGTGGTAAAATCAAAAAAATCACATCTCAAAATCTGCTCGTGCTGACAGATTCATATTTTCAGGATAAATTATGAGAAGCATTTGCTATTTTTTTCACCCTAACACCATATCTTGAAAGGCCGTCAAAAGGTGTCAAAATAAAGGTGAAGTTATCAAAAAAATTATATCTCAAAATCTGCTCGTGCTGACAGGTTCATATTTTCAAGATTCATAATTTATCCTGAAAATATGAATTTGTCAGCACGAGCAGATTTTGAGATAAATTTTTTTTGATATCTTCACCCCAATTTTGACACCTTCTGACGGCCTAACGAGATATGGTGTTAGGGTGAAAACATAGCAAATGCTTGTCATAATTTATCCTGAAAATATGAATCTGTCAGCACGAGCAGATTTTGAGATATAATTTTTTTGATATCTTCACCCTTATTTTGACACCTTCTGACAGCATATGCTGTAAGGGTGAAAAAAAGCAAATGCTTGTCCTGAAAATATAAATATCAGTACGAGTAGATTTTATGTTTCAATATTTTCTTATATTTCCGACGCCACTGGCCGTTCGGCAGTTTCCGGAAGTTTTGGAGGCTATCTTAAGAGGCTAATTTGACACCGGTAATAAAAACTTGTTGCCTTTTTAGAAAAAAATTGACGTTTCTCTTTGAACAGGCTCTAATCTATTGCTAGCGGCATCCGAACCTGAACCTTCGGAGTAAAAGAATTTGATAGAAACAAAATAGCATAATATGTTTTTCTACGAGCGTGCGCAAAGTTGTTACTTTGCGAACTCATTTGCGTGCGCAAAGTTGAACTTTGCGCACGGAAACTCTTTGCGCACTAATTTTTGTTACGCATAGTTACCGCATTTAAACTCGATTTTTCAGAAAGAAGGGCCTGATGTTATTTTTGTTCCAATAAAGGCATTCGTTAGGTTTGTTTTTTCTGCCAAATTTTTGTATGGAGGAGTACCTATAATATACAGGGTGTCCCACTAAGGTCGGCTAGGTACGATATTATGGAGATCATAGAGCTTACGTAACTTGAAAACGAATGCAGATATCGAATTACGGTTTGCGCCAAAATGTAGATATTTTTTTGCTCGCACAGCAATACAAAAATAATATCATGTCATCTGGATTTTTCATGAAAATTAGAAAAAACTGGATCTTGGATAAACAGCGCCCTCTAGCGGTTGGAACTATCGACCTCGAACGAACTGGTGTTCTTAATAACAATGAAATTCTCTTCCAAATGAGCTCAAATTGAATGAGTTTGGATAAGGGGTATGGAAGATACAGCAATTTCTAAAACTACTTTTTCACCAGCTTCCTCCACCCTTATTAGTAAAGATACGAAAAAAAGCCTAATAACCAAACTGGCGCAAAAATTAATGAACTTCTGATTTCTGTTATTAAAACAGTATCTTAATAAAGCGATTTCTTGAGAAAAGTTGAATTTTTAGCTATATCATCGTAATTGCGCCCCTAGCGGTCATCCTAGAAACTTGAAAATAATTTCCATCAATTTCTCTTGGCCGATTAAGTTAAGAAAAAAAAAATCCCGAAGCCGTAAGGTCTATGGTTTCCATAATATCGTACCTGGCCGACCTTAGTGGGACACCCTGTATAATATACAGTGTTATTACTTAAGTGTGCAACATATGGGATTTTTTTTTAGTAATAGCACAACCAAAAGTTGGTGCATGTCTAATAATCATATTAGGTACACTTAGTGCCGGTACTTTTGCTTTCATTTAACAGCCGTTAAAAATAATCAGGGCTTAGAATGTGCTCTAACCACACATCATACCTATGGACCTTGGCCCATGCAAAACTTTGACAACGTATCAAATTCGTTAATCGAGAGCAAAAGTATCGGCCCTCAGAATGGTTGCAAGTCAAACAGCATACAGGGTAGCTCAAAAAATATTGGGTTGTGGTATTACTAAAAAAAATTCCCATATGTTGCACACCTAAAAAATCACACTGTATAATATATAATATACTAGCTGACCCGGCGAACTTCGTACCGCCCCTGAATTATTAAATATACCCATTAAATGTTATGTTGACGTACCTATCTATTAGCTGAATTAAATTCAGTTTTTTGGCTTTGGTTGAAGAAAATTAATGTTTACTCTCTGGATCAGAAGTCACCTAAAATTAAAATTTTACATCATCCTTTTTTAGGCAGCTTGTGGGCATTATTCTTGTAAAGTGTACCATCAAATAAATAAACTCAGGCACAGGAATGTTCAAAGAATGTAAAGAAAACAAAAAAATTCTCTAGCGCAGCCCTGTTTCACTCTATCTGCACTGCACTACTCCATCTGTTCTACTTTATGTTGCACTACTCTATCTGATCTACTCTTTCTGCACCACTCTATCTGATCGGAATAGTGGAATAGTTCTGTTCGAAATAGCTCCAGTTCCTGAGCAGCATTGTTCTACTGTATCTGATATGCCGAGCTTCGTTCCAGGTATCAGAGATAGCGCGGTATAAAAAATACAAAATACAAAATAAACTTGGTATCGGTTATAAGAGATGGCGCCGTATGCGGGCTTAGTAAATTTTTTTACAATTAACAATAGACCTATCTATTTTTACCTGGTATGCGCGCGCAACACGAGGCAATGCCTTTTTATTGGCTAACTAGTACAGGTGTGAGGTGTTCGTTTTGCATGCCCGGCATATCCTTGTCCTTGTTCATTGCCCGTGGTCTGACAAGAATAAAATTACGGTTGATATTCAACTTGACATAGCTTGACAAGTGTCATTCAAAATTTTTTTTGACAAATACGTTCCACAACGCGCGGTCTTCCTATTTACCTTTTTAGCCCGTGCAAATAACAAGGATGCCTTGCTATACGTAAGTCTAAGCCCGGTATTCATAGTGCCTACTTGAGTGCTGAGGATTCCTTAAAGGTTACCTTGGCAGTAAATTGTCTTTCAGAGTCAAAATTGTCAAGGCGTCCTTATCGCCGCTTATGCGTATTTTGGCACATTTCCTTCCTTGACTTGAGGAATGTCCAGAGGTCCCTTGAGACTGGTTTTCTAACCTATTTCTATAAAAAAATTTCATGTGATTGGTGACAGTACGTGACTGTAGGTATTTCATTGATGTGCAAAGTTTATTATTAGTATTGTAATGAGTATGGATGGGCTGGAAAATTTGTTTGGAGATAAATGTCGCTGATGATGATAACCGCGTATATGGCTAAATTCAGCTGGTGTAGGCACCGTGGTGGAATGGTAGAAAAAGCAGTGTTAAATCAAACAGGGATTAGCATCCATTAGTGAGTCGATAAATCACCGCATTCGTGGCATTGCCACATTTTGGGGAATTTAGCCACACGCGGGTTGTGCTACGGAGGCCAAGAAGGTACAGGGTTGTTCCGTATATTTAGACAGAATATAGTTCGCTAATGAAGCAAGATAGAAAAAAAATATAAATACAAAGTAAATAGGGATTTACGAGAACCGCTAGAAAATTTAATTTTTATACATATATACAGGGTGCACGCAAAAGATGTGGCAGACAAAACTTGTATTTTTTTCTAAATGGAACCTCCTGTATATTTTTGGCTAGAATGATAGATTGTTTTCTTCTGATTCCAAATATATGTTGATATTTGGTTCAGCTGTTCTTACGCTATTTAAGTTTTAAAATGCATTAACATTAGATCTGTTCCGGGTTCCTTATATCAATGGTGAGTCATTCTAGGCAAACATATACAGGGTGTTCTATTTATACAAGTTGTGTCTGCCACATCTTCAGCGTGCACCCTGTATATATAAAAGCTAAATTTTTTAGCTGTTCTCGTAAATCCGTATTTACTTTGTATTTACATTTTTTTCCTATCTTGCTTCAAAGCGAGCTATATGCTGTCTAAATATACGGAACAAACCTGTACATTCATCGAAACATGCAGAAACCATTGGAATTCTAAATTAAAGAAGTAGTCCATCTCTCAAAGTAAAGTTGAAATTTAATTCCAAAAGAATACATAAAGTCTTCCTCCACAAAATATTTTGATAAAGTAAAAGCGCCCTACATGTTTCGAGGCTAGAAGACCTCTTCATCAGGGGCAAGTTCGCTCACATCTTACAAAGTAAGGTCGCGCTAGACTTCGTATTCGACAGAGGAAAAGAAACAGACGGTTGAAACACATTAAAAAGTTGGGATATTAAAAAAGACAAAGATAAAAAAAAAACATCAAAAAATTAATAGATCAATTATTGTATATTTATTTTTCTTAAATTTTTATTAATAATTGACTTTGCTATGTAATATTTTTATTTTGTCCTGCGAAGCAACTTCATGGTTGTGGGTTATCTACAAAATGGTCAAGGAATTATAAATTTCATCTCAGGCAGGCTGTTTTTCCTCCAATAATACGGCGTTTATTTT